TTATATTCTCACTGGTTTAGGATTTATTAATCCGGTCCCTCATCCGGCAGGTCGTAATGAAATCTCATGCACCAGAGAGAAGTCTGGACTGTGTGGATTCAGCAGTGAGTCAGAGGCAGACTCTGTTCATTAAGGAAATTGTGTTGCATAAAAGGAAACATAACAAACAGATAAATAAATGTACTTAATAATTTATTTCCAGTCTGCCCACAGGCGCTATTGAGTATAATGAGAACAGTGAAGCAGCCTGAAGGCCTGAGCTGGGCGGATATTGTAAGGAGGACTGTGGGGTCTGAACTGTGAAGGAGTTCACTGCACATGAAGCCAGGTAGTGTCACAGCAAAGGAAATGGGTGTTTGGTTGGAGGAAGGGAACAGTTGCCAGGGGTGTTTCACTGGCAGTAAGAACATAGAAAAGTGGTCTGTGGGGCCAGAAAGAATCCTGCTTTAAAATATGGGATGTTTGAGGTTTCTATTTCAAAAAAATTTGTTTAATTATTGCTGTTTTTATTTAAATCGTTTGTGTGTGCATGTGCACACACATGCATCAGCATTGGAGTCCAATGAAGCCAGAAGAGGGTGTTGGAGCCATTGGAGTTGGAGTTGCAGGCAGTTGTGAGCTTCTGGGAACTGACCTCGGTCCCCTGGTACAGTGTCTGGTACTCCTAATTACAGATCCATCCCTGCAGCTCCAGAGATGCCTCCAAAATAACCCAAAACAATAATCCATTTTTGTATGATTGTAACAAGTGTTTCACATGCAGGTATGTCTGTTTTGCTTGCATGTATGTCTGTGTACTTCCTGTGTGCCTCAGAAGAGAGCATCAGATCTTCTGGAACTGGAGCTGTGGGCTGCCATGTGGGTGCTGAGACTCAAAGCTGGATCTTCTGCAAGAACAACTGCTCTTAGCCACCGATTTACATCTTTACATGAAAATACTCGGCTAGCCTGTGACTCCAGCTCCAGGTCATCCAACACTCTGTTCCATCTTCCATGGATACTCACTCACATCTAACATATACACACATGTAGACACATGAATATACACATACATACATACATACATACATACATACCACTCAGATCTAACATATGGCCATATGTAGACACACACAAATAAACAAAACAAAAAATTTTAATTAAGAAATCATAATTGAGTGCTGGAGAGATGGTCTGATGGTTAAGAGCACTGGCTGTTACCTGGCTGGCCTCAAACTCAGAGAGATCCACCTGCCTCTGCCTCCTGAGTGACGAAATTTAATGGTGTGCCTGGTTTCCTGCCTATTTTTTCTTTTTCTCTTCTTTTCTTTTTCTTTTTTTATTCTTTTTTTTTTATTTGAGACAGGGTTTCTCTGTGTAGCCGTGACTGTCCTGGCACTCACCCTTTAGACCAGGCTGTCCTCGAAATCATAAATCCACCTGCCTCTTCCTCACAAGTGCTTTGATTAAAGGAGTGTGCCACCACTGCCCAGCATCCCTGCCTATTTTTGACTATATAAATACTTAGGTTTAATGAAATTGTTGTTGCAAAGATTACCATTTGCCTTATAAAACGGCCCACAATGGGCTGGGCCCTCCCACATCCATCACTAAATAAGGAAATACCCTACAGGCTTGCCTATCACCTGATCATTTGAAGGCATTTTCTCCATCGAGGTTCCCTCCTCTCAGATGACTTTAGCTTGTGTCAAGTTGACATAAAACTAGCCAGGACAAGGTCTAATGTGGTTGCAGTCAGATGATGTTCCTGGCTGCAGTCATCCTCAGAACCTTCTGTATTCTGTCCACTGCCTGGGCTGCAGGATCTGAGCTTCTCCTTCGTCCGTCCTTCTTCCTCCCTCTCTCTGGAAGGGTGTTTTGAGCCTTTGCTGTCTGTTTACAGAACCTCAGGGTAGCCAAATGTCTTACTGGAAGCTGAAGACTGTGATAGCAAGTTTCCCAAACCAACTGGGTAACACACTGAAGCCTGTTATTAAGAGCTACAAACATCTTGCTGTACCCAGCAAGGCCCCAACAGTTTGCAGCATGCACTGTTAAGAACCTGTGTGCACTCTTGCTCTGCCCCTCGTTAATGTTGTTAAATTAAGGTGGTATTACAGGATTTCCAAACACTGTGAATGTGCAAATATGTCTTTATTCAATAACTGCAGTGGCCAGTTATGGTGGCCCCTTCTACAAGACACATCTATGTCCCAATCCCTGGAACCTGTATTGCCTTAATTGACAAAGGTGTGAATGTCATTTAATATGATAAAATATATGACTGAGGAGGACTGGGGACATGGGTCATCAATTAAAAAAAGTACATACCGCTTCTACAGAAGACTCAGGTTCTAGTCCCATAACCTCCTGGGGCAGCCCACAGCTGCCTGCAAGTCTAGCACCAGGGAGATCCGACACCTCTAACTTTGTGGGCACCTATGATCAGGTTCACAAACACACACTCATTTAGGTAATTAAAAAAAAATCAAAGATGTGACTGGGTTATCAATATCAAATGAGGAACTTATGTTAGTTTTCCTAGATGTGCTCTGAATACATTTACAGATGACCAAAAAACAAAACATCCTAGCTGGACTATGGTGGTAATGGTGTTCACCTTTAATCCCAGCACTTGGGAAGCAGAAGCAAGCAGATTTCTGAGTTAGAGGTCAGCCTGGCCTACAGAGTGAGTATCAGGACAGCCAGCCAGGGCTACACAGAGAAACCCTGTCTCAAAAAAAAAAAAAAAAAAAAAAAAAAGGAGGTCATCTCAGCTTGATGATATGATGATATACATCTTTAATCCCAGCACTCAGCAGCGGGCAGAGGCAGGTGGGTCCCTGTGAGTTCCAGTCGAGCCTTGTCTACATAGTGAGCCTAGGCCACCAGAGCTACATAGTGAGATACAACAAAGCAGAGAAGAATGTAGACCGGGATGAGAACATTGACTGGTGGCAGAGACAGAGAACAGTGTGATGCTTCTCAGGTCCAGGGATGCCAGGGTAGCTTCTGGGACCTGGCAGAGACAAGGGGTGCATTGTCTCCTAGTGTCCCTGCAGAGAACAGGGCCCTGCCACTGTCAGATAAGCAGTGTCTAAACCTGGGAAAGAGTGTATTTTCTCACACACCCTATCTCATTTACACTCACTTACTAATGGGCCCCAGTAAGGTACTGCAACAACCATCTTCAACTCACCTTGTGTGGTGAATATCAGAGACTCAGAAAATGTCTTTCAGCTCATTTCTCTACTGTCCACTTGATGATCCCTTTGCTAGATGGCCATTATTGAAATAGTGGTTTAAATACAGGGACAAGAAGTATCTGTTTAGGGACAGGAGACATCGCTCAGTGGTTAAGAGTATTGGCTGCTTTTCCAAAGGACCTGGGTTTGATTTCTAGTACCCACATGGTGTCAGTACCACTCACAAGTGTCTGTAACCTCAGTACCAGGAGGTCAAATGCCCTTTTCTGGCTTCAGCAGGCAAGAGATTTCATGTTTGAGGCCAATCTAAACTCCACAGTGAATTCTAGGCCAGCCTGGATCATAGGAAGTTGTCCTCTTTCATTCAGTCACACACCTTAAACAATTATACATTGTAAAGATTATCAGATCTCCTTCATGGATGGAACATATCCATTGCTCTGGTGTATGTGGTAGCAATGCCTCATGACTAGTATAAGGAGTTATACAGCTCTGCATGTGAACTTCTAAGTCAGTCACTCAGGGAAAGAAGCCAGGGCCATACTCTGGCTGAGCAAATATGCAAACAGAAAGTTCAAAGCCAAGCACTGTAGCACACATCTTTCATCCCAGCCCTTGGGAGTCAGAGGCAGACAGATCTCTAAGTTTGAGGCCTGGACTATATATATTAAGGTCCAGGCTAGTCAGTCAGGGCTAGATAGTGAGACCCTGTCTCAAAATAAGACAAAGGAAGGAAAAAAAGGAAGAAAGAAAGAAAGAAAATTGAGGAAAGTATAGCACAAGGAGGCCTCGGGCTCCTTTCTGGGCCTGCATTGTGGCCTGTAGTCCCCTATTCAGGCTGCTTTGCTTTTGATGGTTGCCTCACATTCAACCCTCCAACTCTGTAGTAGGGAAGTCAGTGGTGGGGTCTGCAGTCCTCAAAACCATTTTCAGTCTGAATCAGTAGAGAGCATAGTTTAAAAATTGTATCTGTGTGTGTATATACATGTATCCATTTTGTATGTGTGTGTCTCTGTGTGTATATAAATATATCTATTTTGTATGGGTGTGTCTATGTATGTATACATGCATCCGTCCATTGTGTATGTCTGTGTACACTCTGCCATAGCGCTGGGTTCCTTGAGTTATTGTTTTTATTATTTTCTCTTTTTTTTTCCTTTTGAGCTGAGAATTGAACACGGCCTTGAGCTTGCTAGGCAAGTGCTCTACCACTGAGCTAAATCTCCAACCCTGAGTTATTGTCTTAAAAGACAAAGGAGCACAATTACCAAGGGTCCAGGACATAAACTCTACTCTGTGGATGCACAGGAGAAGGTAATTTTAAAATAAAAATACATTCTGATTTCTGGTTAGTAATATAACAAGTATGAACAAAATCAGCATGACTCTTTTACTTTTCTATTTTTGAAACAAAGTCACATTTTTTTTAGCCTGTTGAAAATTAGTGTGTTACTCTGTAGTTTCTAGAAAGTTCTGAGAAGTACATCATCAGTCCAGGCTACCCCAGATCATGTACTTTTTTGGTCTCTACAGTGCCAGACAGGGGTTGTTGAGCTCGTCTATGCCATGAGTAACATTGTGGAGTGATTTTAGGTCTGAACACTATTAGCTGAGTGTCTCTGGCTCTGGTGAGTGTGTGTGTGTGTGTGTGTGTGTTGGGGGGGTGAGGCTGAGAGTCTACACACCTGCAGCTTGCTACAATCAAAGCCTGAGGAGCTGCAGGTGGCAACCCTGTTAAATCTTTGGCCAAGCCTTTAAAATTGGAGCAAGCTGGGTAGGAGAAAGAAGAGTCACTGTGGACTTAGGCCATGCAAGATGGAGTTCTATTTGCCTTGTGAGCTACTGCTGGAAATCTTCTCCTATCTGGATGCTTTCAGTTTGCTACAGGTTGCCCAAGTGAACAAGGTAAAAGCTCCTTGGCTGAACTCCTCCATCTGGTGCATGATAAGTCCCTGGGCCTTTCCCGTTCAGTCTTGGAGCCTTAGCTACCCCAGCGCTATACTCACACAACCTGGCTTCCTCTCCTTCCTTTCCTTTGCTTCCTTTCCTTTGTTTCCTTCCCTCCCTCCATTTCTTCCTTCACTTCCTGCTCTTTCTCCCCTTCCTTCCCTTCCTCCCCTTCCCTTTCTTTCCTTTCCTTCTTCCCTTCCTCTTTTCCTTTCTTCCTTTCCTTTTCTTCCCCTGTTCTTCCCCTTTCTTCCCCTGTTCTTCCCCTTTCTTCCCCTTCTTCTTCCCTTTCTTTTCCCCATCTTTCCCTTCCTTTTCTTCCTTTTACTCCTTTTGTCTTCCTTCTCTTCCTTTTCTTTTTTCCTTTCCTTTCCCTTTCCCTCCTTATTCAGACCTGTCTACTCAGCTCTGACACATTGATGTCTGGGGAACTCAGCTGCTTCTCTTCACCAACAGAAGCTCAGACATACAGAATAGCAAACAGATACATCTAGGGCTCATGGGTTAGCATTATCCACTCTGAAGACTTCAAATCCAGTTAAGTGAAGCAGGAGTGGTGGCACATGCCTGTAATTGAAGCACTTGGGATGTGGAAGCAAGATGACCAGGAGTTTGGGTCACACTCAATTACATGAATTTAGAACCAGCCCAGGCTACTTAGACACCCTATCTCAGAACAGCAACAGTAACAACAAAATTCTGCTAAATGAAAAGAACAAGCTGCCCTATGGAGATGTCCTTCTGATATGTGGCCTCCTTGAGACTCTGTGTCAGACCTGTGGAGACTGGCCCTCCTTCCTCTGAGCCCTCACATGGTGACTTGTGTTTGCTGGGGTAGGTCTCTCCAGGCTGCCTGGGCCTGGGGAGCTAGGACTATGCTTGATTGACCTGTGTAGGCCCAGCACAGAACAAATTGAGAGCAAGGGGAAGGGGGAAGTTATTGATTGAAGGATTTTTTTTCTCTCCCATAGTACTGGAATGCAATTGCAAGCAGTGATATCCTGTGGAAGTAAGGAGAGGGGCAGGGTGGGATTGGAAGAAGGGATGAGATGGGGCAGGAAGGGAAGAGAAGTCTTCTCATTCTGGACCTGGACCTCTGCTGTGTGAGGATGGTTAGGGAATAAAATTTTGGGAACTGTAACTGTGGCTCTAAGGTGAGGTGACTAGGGTCAGCCTGATGGGATTGCAACTGTGCATTGCAGGAAGTTGTGTTTGAAGAGATTGCTCTTCTGTGACAGTGTCACCCTACATCTTCTGGGTACAGAGACATGGAAGCAATTCTTTCTTTACCAAACATGGCAAGAACACACCAAATCCCGGGCAAAACCAGAAGATTTCACTTACAAGGAAATTCATGTGGAGCCTGGTATGGCCTTGGGCACAATAGAAGACACACCCACTTGGTTTTTCCCATTCTCTGCAGTCCTACATTCTCATTCAATAAGAGGAAGGGAATTGTAGTTTAATGGGCTGGGGCTGCCATGCTAGCCTAGCCATAGAACCACTCTGTGAACTGCTGAGTGGTTGATCAGAATCATAAAACCAGCCCTGTTGTTCTCCTTCCCTGAAGGCTTCCCACCTTTCCCAGTGTATAGAGAGAATTTAATGTGGAAATTACTATATAGGTTTAGTATTTACCTTTTTTTCTAAAAACTTCCTCAAAACAGCTTTCTGATGGAGATATACTTTTAAATTTATTTCATTTATGATCTTTAGTATGTTTGTATGTGACGTGTGTACATGGAACAGTGTGTGTGTGTGTGTGTGTGTGTGTGTAGACAACTTTGTGGAATCATTTCTCCTGATGGGAAAACCCTTACCTTTTCTGTTTATTTTGAAACTATGTCTCTGTGGCTAGCCTGGAACTTGATCTGTAGACTAGACTAGCCTCAAACTCAAGATCTGCTGCTTGCCTTCACTGGGACTGGTACATCTTTACATCTGGCTTTTATATTTCTTTTGTTTCTTTTTCTCTCTCTTTCTCTCTTTCTCTTTATCTCTTTCTTTCCTCTTTCTTTCTCTCTCTCTTTCTCTCTTTCTTTCTTTCTTTCTTTCTTTCTTTCTTTCTTCCTTCCTTCCTTCCTTTCAAGACAGGGTCTAATGTACCACAAGCTGACCTGAAAGCCTTCCTCTAGCAAACACAAATGACCTTGATCCTTCTGCCTCCAAATGATAACTGGGTTACAGTTTATAGGCCTTTAGATACAGAGCCCAGCACTCTCCCTACTGAATTCCAGCCACAGCCCCCAGCATCCATTTTGTATCTCTAGAAGCACATTAAAGAGTAACTGTATTTGAACAAAGGACCAACCTGCAGTGTGCTTGACTGCTTCTTGCTTCATCCTTCCCACAACTTTTATCCAAGCCTTCTACAGGGTAAAGGTGAAACATACCTTCATCGGTTTGACTTGCCCTCAACTGTCTCCTGTCCAACAGTTGTTGGGGTTTCCTTGCAGGAATTCGGGGATATGCATGTTATGTCTCAGGGCATGGCTTAAGAAGAATCCGACAAGACAGATCTGTTGTCTGTATGGTGAGTTCCAAGGCCAAGATTTCCACCTGGGATATTCATGAGGTTAGTCTGGCCGATGAGTAGCAAAAGTTACCTGGATGTGAATTCTGATTTCATCTTTCTGTTGTTGGTGATGATGAGACAAGATCTCCCTGTATAGACCTGACTGTCCTAGATGTCCCCATGTAGATCCACCTACCTTGACTCCTCATGTGGTCAGGTCAAAAATTTACACCACACACCTGATTTTTCCCTATTATAGCAAGCCAGGCCTACCTGGCTGTTGCCTAGGCTAGAGCCTAGAAGGCATGCTGAAATTCTTCCGTTTTTGGTTTAATTGTGAAAAAGAGAAACTAGAAAGAGGTGGTGGTGAATCAGGGATAGGGTCGTCGTGATCTTCAGCTATTTCCTGCTGACTCTGAGGTGTTGTGTCTCTGGGAAACCTAAGAAAACGGGGATGGGGATGTTGGTCCAGTCTTGGGAGAATTGGCTGTTTCCTTGCTATCCAGGATCTGTGGGACCATCTGTGGATAGGAGGAAGTAGGTCCAGTAGAAGCATCTGTGTCTGTGAGAGCAGGTGGTGGCTCATCTGTGGGTTGCTTCTGTGGAGCTGTCCTGCATGCACATTTTGAGTAAGTGCCTGGACATGGCAAGAGGCTGAAACACACATACATGTTAGAGATAGAGAATAAAGTTACATACTTTTGAGAGAAAAATTTTCTTAGATGTACATTTGAAACCCTTCAGTCTTGGTAGTTGGGGTGAGAGAAGTCCCAATCCCAGGGAACAGGAGAGGAATCCCATCCTCTGGAATAGGTAAGAGGTAGAAACTTAGGCTATTGATTGGCAGGTGTACTTATCTAGATGGAGTCTGTTTGGTCCATGAGAGGTGGATCTGAGTGGGTTTCCTGGAGCTCATAAGTTTACAAAAGAGATAAATCTGTTAACAGCATGAACACTCTTTAAGATGAGTTTAGTGAAGACAAAAACTTTTCGTGGAACAGAAGGAGCAAGAAGGTCTTTTTCCTTTTATCTGGGAGATTGAATATATATCAATTTAGCACAATGAGAAACATTTTAAGTTTACATTTAAAAGACAAAGCAAACTTGAAATTTTGACTTTTTGAATATGATAGCTGCTTATATAGATTAGCATGAGAAACGCCTTAAGTCTATAGTTCAGAGTCATAGAGAAGAGGTATGGGGTCGTGGCTACACCAGAGTCAGGGCAGCTGGTGAAAGGTGAAGTAAGATTACTTGGCAGGGTCACTGGAGAAGCTGTAAGTGGCAATGGTGAGTTAATTCAGGGGGTACACATAACCAGCAATCTTTAAAGTGCCCTGGTAGCATGACATTAAGGAGTTTGTGGGCTGTGCTCAGGGTCTGAAGCAGAAGGTGAAATGACAGGTTAGTGTTATTTACGAGGGGGGATATCAAGGAAGTAAAGACCTTGAAGAATGTCCTGTGGTGGGTGAAACAGCTCTAGCTACCTTGTCAGTTCGGTTGTTTCCATTGAGGATAATACAGTCATCCATGTTTTGGGAACTACATTGGACAATTCCACTGTGCCTGGGGCAGAGGTAGTCTGGCCATCAGGCCCAGAAGATGAGAATCTTTTTCCTGTGGGGGAGGAACGTGGGAGAAATAACTCACTTGTCTTAGGCAATAGGAGACATGTAACTCTCTGGTTGTCCTCTGTCCCACAGTTTAGACCAAGCCCTGGCAGTGGGCAAGGCAATGGAGTGGTGTTTCTCAGTGGTTATCATATCACAGTCTAGGCAGTCTTGTTGTCTCTGTGCCCATGTCACTCAGATCTGGGGAGTTGGGGGTTCACTGTCAGGATTTGGTAGTCTCTGTCTAGCAAATTAAGCTTTAGCAGTAGAAAAGCATACTAACAAACACTTAATATTACATTCAGCAGATTTCTGACAGGAATGAGAGCCAGTATCTATTAAGTATATTGGAGTTAGAAAATCTATCTTCATTTTTTCTAGAATGTATCTAGTAAGTAAAGAGAGTACATTGTAAATAACAGTAGCAAAAACAAGGCTAAAGATACCTTTTGGCAGATGGGAACTTGTTTCAGAAGTTCCTGAGGAACAATGGCTTTGATCTAACTGTCAGAAATCCCATAATCCAGCTTGATCTCATTTCTGGATATTTGGAGAGTCTTGAGAACTAACATTTACCACATAATATAGTTTGGCTACACGTTTGTGTGTTAGTGTGCTGCTTTTGTTGTGTTAAAAGGCCATGACCAAAAGTAACTTGGAGGAAAGAACTAGGAGGTTAGTTCATCAGAGGAGGATCAGACAGAAACTGAAGCAGAGGCTATGGAGGCTTGGTCATTCTTTATGGCACACTCTCCATGGCTTACTCAGCTTTTGTATACAACCCAGGACCACCAACCTGGCACTGGCACTGCCTACAGTGGGCTGAGTCTTTCCACCCTGATGATTAATCAGAGAAATACTGTACAGATATGCTTAGAGGCAATCTGCTGGAATGGATCTGGGGGTGATGCTCTCCCTCAAGTCACTCCCTGTGGTAGTCTGGAATCTGGCCCTGCCCTCTCATTGGCTGTGGCACTAGGAGAATGTGCCCCCATTCCTTGACTGTGGAGCTATGATCTCTTGGGGGTGTGTGGAACAATTCACAAACTGTTCTCCACATGATTCTTTCTCTGATGGTGTCTACTAGGGTTTGGGGTACCTCACCTCAGGAGCTAAACAGAACAAGGTGTGGCTTGCACTGAGCAGAGTTCTCTTGAGACCTTCTTGGACTTTGCGTCTCAGGGGAGGAAACAAGGCTAAATCTGTGGCAGTGTTACTTGATCTGGCAGCAGCACACTGTGTAGGTAGAGCATCTCTGTTTTCTATGGTGTTGTAAGTGCTAGAGGCCCAGATGATGCCCTGGGAGAGGGATGGTGGGGACCCTATTACCAGTGGGAAAGAACACAGGACTGGCCATGTCTGTGGTTCTTGAGGACATTACTCATGGCTTGTCTCAGCATTATGACACTAGATTCCCACTGAGCAGTCCCTGCTGGTTTATGCAAGAGTATTTTTCTCTTGTGTGCTCTGACTTGTGAGACAGCCAGCTGCTGAGCCAATGTAGGAGAGAACTGGGTGAATGCTGGGTACCTCCATATGTGTTTCTTCACTATCCTCCTTTCTCTCAAATACTTTTTATTCTAAAAGGTAAAAGAGTCTAATGGAGTGAACATTAATCCATTCTTTTTTGTTTTTTCGAGACAGGGTTTCTAAGTGTAGTTCTGGCTGTCCTGGAACTCACTCTGTAGACCAGGCTGGCCTCCAACTCAGAAATCTGCCAGTCTCTGCCTCCCAAGTGCTGGGATTAAAGGTTGGTGCTACCATTGCCTGGCCAATTAATACATTCTTAAGTTTGGTTGGTTCTGTTTATCTGGGAGAAGGTGTCACCCTATAGTCTTATCTGGCCTGGAACTATGTAGACCAGGCTAGCTCCAACTCACATCTGCCTCCCTCTGCCTCCTGTGTGCTGGGACTAAAATGGTGGCCCAAAACACGCAACAAAGGGTTTTTTATTTTGTTAGACAGGATCTCAATGTTTATAAACATTGTCTCCTACAGCAAACTGAAGATGGAACATAATGAACACAGAGATCTTGGGGTTGGAGGTTTTGCGGTTTTTGTTTGGTTTTTGATGGGTTAGGAGGAGCCTGTTTAGGACAATATCAGACTGTCCTAGAGTTCACTGTGCAGTTCAGGCTGGCCTTGGTCTCTGTCCTAGAGTTTGCTAAGCAGTTTAGGCTGGCCTCGGAGTCATGGGGACCCTCTGACCTCTGCCTCCTAAGTGCGAGGCAGGATCCAGTGGTGAATCCTCATTGTACCTGGCCAGAGAGAGCACGGAGTGGAGCACGACCTCAACCTTGTGACTGCGTCATGTGCTCCATGGTAACAAGGACTTCAACAGGTTCCCTTTCAAAGGAGTCAAGATTGACTCAAAGGGGAGATTACTTTTAGAGGGAAAAAGAGGTTATTAATAATTTTCATGCAAATGGAGCTAGGGCTTAGAAATGGCTATATTGATTCCTGCCTCTAATATTTTACTAAATTTAATTATGCTTTTGGATTTTGTTATTGATGCTGCTGGTGGTGGAGTGAGTGTGTGTGTGAGTGAGTGTGTTTGTGAGTGAGTGAGTGTATGTGTGAGTGAGTGAGTGTGTGTGAGTGTGTGTGTAAGTGTGTGTGTGAGTGTGTGTGATTTTTTTAAAAAACTTGTTTATTTTATTTGCTTTATCTACATGCATGCCTGCATGCCCAAAGATGGCATCCGATCCCAATACAGATGGTTGTGAGTCACCATGTGTTTGCTGGGAATTGAATTCAGGACCTCTGGAAGAGTAGTAGTCAGTGCTCTTAACCTCTTAGCCATCTCCCTAACCCCTTAATATATTTTTTTTAAAGCTAAAGAAAAGCTTTCAAAAGAACCGGTTATTCTCAGTTGCAATGTATAATAATTGATACAATAACCAGTTTTGGAATTGATTCATTGTAAATTTTTTTGTTTCGTGTGTTATAAAACCTAATATTACCAGAAGTGGTGGCCCAGGCCTTCAACTCCAGCACTCGGGAGGCAGCCTGTTTTACATAGTGTGTTCCAGAAAAGTCAGAGGTATAGACTGACCCTGTCTCAAACACAGCAACAAGAAATCTAGCCCCACTAGAAGTGACAATAGGCACACGTTCTCTGCTTGCAATGTTAGTAAAGGTGAAATGGCTTTGAGCACAGGGCTGCTGATTGTTCTTCATACATGTTTGTTCTCCCCTTCCATGTGGTTCCTGAGGATTGAACTCCTGTCATCAGGTTTAGTGGCAAGTGCTCTTCTCTGGTGAGCCATCCTGAGAGCCATGTTCTTTCTGGTCTGAATAGTGAATGTGTGCTTGTCCCTGAGCACAATGTATGTGTCCTGTATTCCTGTCTACTCCTGCCCCACATATCTAGATGTTTTTCTTTTTGTGTTTCTTTTTATTCTTATGTACATAGGTATTCTGCCTGCATGTATGTCCGTGTGAGGGTGTCATGTCCCCAGGAACTGGAGTTATAGACAGTTGTGAGTTACCAAGTGTGTGCCAGGAATTGAACCCAAGTCCTTTGGTTAAGAACAGCTGGTGGTCTTAAATGCTGAGCCATCTCTCCAGCCCTGTGTTTCTTTTTCTTTTTTGAGATAGTCTTGTAGTTCCAACTGGCCAGCAACTTGACATTGTAGACCAGACTGGCCTCAAGCTTCTAGTGACCTTTCTGCCTCTGCCTCCCTGGGCTGGGATGCTAGGCATGTGCTACCATGTTCAGTGAGAGATGCGTAGAACATTCATATTCAGTTCTTGTAAGTAAGAAGGGGTTCCATTCTTTTTTTTTTAATTTCTTTTTTTTTTTTGGAACATGAAATGCTTTTTTATAGCATATTTTACAAGGGGAGGGGGTAAGAGGGTCCAGGTGGTGGAAAAGTACAAAATCTTCTTGGCCTGTGCCTTGAAACATGTCATGGTCTATATGGTACACTGCCTTGAGTTATGATCTGCCTGCAGTTCTTCAGAAGATATGGTACACTGCTTGAGTTATGGTCTCCCTGCTATTCTTAAGAAGACATGGTACTCTGCTTTGAGTCTATCTGCAGTTGCTAAGCAGGATCTTGCAGTTGCCAAGCTTCAGAGGACATTGTGCAGGTGGGGAAAGGTAGGGGGTGAGGGTAAGGGCGAGGGTCCTGGCTTCTGGCATCTCCCCCTTCTCTGTTTAGTTAGAGAAGGCTTCTTATGTTCAATCCCAACTATGTGAGTTTTGAATTTGGATGTCTAATTATGGGGGAAGGGGTTCCATTCTGGATGAGGCTTCCAAATAAAGCTGCTGTGTGAAAGCAGTTGAACTGGAGGTGCTCAGACATGATGATGCTCTTGTTCCCCAGGGTGTTATGACCTGGGAAAGCCCAGAACAGCCCACCTACATCAAGATGTTGACAACTCTCCCTGAGATGCATATTGCGGTCACTGAAGATATAGACCAAACTATCAAACTGTGGGATTGTCACAACAGGGACGCTCTGGCGACTAACAAGCTGCTCTTTCCCTGTGAATCACTGAAAGCTGTCTTTACAAAGGATGGCCCAATTGTCTTGGTAAGTGACCCTAAATCTGGAATAGTCACACAGAACAAAACACTTCCCTATTTGAAGTCCCATTACTGTCAAATCCTAGCTTGCCATCTTGGAGTCTCTGCAAACCCTGAGAGTCAATCACAGTATACCATAAGCATGGCCATTCCTTAGCCTTTGACCTACTTCATGTACATTCTTTAAGCCATTCTCTTAAAAGTATCATTTTAAAATTGTTTCCTGGGATCTGGGCAGAGATAGTTGAGTGGGTAGCAGTGTTTTCTGTGCAAGCAGGTGCAAGACCCGAGTTCTAATCCCTGACACTCACATTTAAAGTGAGATGTGACTAAAGGTGCCTGTAACCCCAGTAGTGTAGGGGATGGAAACACAGGGTCACTGGGACTAGACAGCTGCTAGCCAAGCCAGCCTGAGTCAAGGTTCAATAAATGACTCTCTCAGGAAATCAGAAGAGGATAACAGGAAACCTGGTGTCCTTCTCTGTTTTCCAGGTATTCCCTGGTATGTAACCTACATACACATACATAAATATACATATAACATACACACACAGTTTTTCTAAGTGGTTTTACATCTTCTTGTCTTTGAAATGTTTATTATTTGTGAATCCATGAATTTTTGTAGGGACAATAGAGAGAAAAATGTGACAGATATTGAGAAAAAAGGATAACGCTGACATACCTGGGGAAGAGGGTTTTAGGGCTTGGAAAATCTTTGCACACACCCTACCTCATGTGTTTGAGACAGAATCTCATAATGTAGTCTTGGCTGGCCTTGACCTCACTGTGTAGACTAGGGTGGTCTAACTCACTGAGTTCAGACTGCGTCTGCCTTCCAAGTGTTGGGATTGAAGATAATATACTACCTGTCCCTACAAAAGTTTCTTTTAAAAAATCCTACAGGGCATGGTGGTGGATGTCATAGAGGCAGGTGAATATCTTGAGTTTGAGGTCAGCCTGGACTACAGAGTGAGTCCAGGATAGCCAGGGCTACACAGAGAAATCCTGAAAACCTGTCTCAAAAAACCCAAAAAGGGCCAGGCAGTGGTGGTGCATGGCTTTAATCCCAGTACTTGGGAGGCAGAGGCAGGCAGATTTCTGAGTTCGAGAGTTCGTGGCTAGCCTGGTCTACAGAGTGAGTTTCAGGACAGCCAGGGCTACACAGAGAAACCCTGTCTCGAAAAACCAAAAAAAAAAAAAAAAAAAACAAAAAAACAAAAACTCCAAAAGGGAAAAAATTATTTTGTGTGTGAATATTTTTCCTGCATGTGTGTCTATGTATCACATGCAAGCTTGGAGGTCAGAAAAAGCCGTTGGAGGCCCTGGGGTTGGGGTTGAACTCCAACCGTCCCTTCTCCTTCTGTCCTGAATTACCCACTGAGTCATCCCCCACCACCAGGTGTCATCCCAGATGCTCTGTGAGGCAGGCTGCTCAGTGCATTGGATCTCTTGTTACTGGACTTGAAGACACAGTGGTGGATCTTAGAGCAGATAACACTGCTTCCTCCATGCTTAACCTTTTCCCACTGACCAGATGCCGATGCTCTGATTTCAGGCAGGTGATATCACGGGTGACCTCTACATCTTTCGGGTTCCAGACTTACACCTCATTTCCAAAGTCCATGTATTCCAATATGGTATTAACAAAATCTACTGCTCTCCTCAGAAGAAATGGGTCTTTCTGAGTAAGAAACACTCACTTATCTTGCCAAAGGTAGGTCTGTTCTAGCAACTCCAGGGTGAAGGTGGGAGATGGTGGGAAGGTCCAGTCCTCAGGGAGGTTCAGGCAGACCACTCCTGCTCTCCTAAGCCCTATCATAAGGAAAGCCATTCCTATAGTCAGGAGATAAAAATGTGCTTGGAAGCAGTCACATGACAAACCACAATGGCAAATGTCTGCTTGTGAAGTGTCCTTGAAATTTGACTGAACCAAAGGACAAAGACAGGTGAAATAACAGTCCCCACAACCCTTTGCTGGTCCTGAACTGGAAGCAAATTTCTATAACTGGCTGACACGCCTCCCCACCCCATGACACAGTTCACATTTCACATGCTACCATACCCAGTGCTTTATATACTGCCTTCTCTCTTTACTGACAGCTCTCTGGTGTATGGTGGTCTCCTCAGAGGCCAAGTACTTCTCAGGGCCCAAGCATATTTATTTTGTTTTATAAATCGACATACTTTCAAAGCAACCTGGGTTACAGAAGACAGTATCAATGCCTCATTAAAAAAAAAAAAATCCAGAACAGCCCTGGACTAGTCCTCTGCACAGGGAAAATGTACTTAACCAATCTCTGCCTGATGAGTCCATTGCAGTAGGAAGACCAGGTGCCCTTTGACCTCGGTCAGGGACTTCATTCTGTCTCTGCATATGATGGGAGGGACAGGAAGATGGTGAGTTAATTTGACCCTGAATGAGAGCAATGAGTGTTCCGCCCTGTCCTGGGTGAAGAACAGATGCAGCCACTCCTGGGTTTCCTTTGAAAGCCCCTTGTATGGAGTGCACATGAGGCAGGCTGCAGAGGTGTTACTCTTCACTGATTCCACTGGACAATCCTCTCTGCAGGTGTATTTACTGAGCAGCTTACTGAGGACATCAGAATTCTCCGCCCCTGTGTCTACCAGTCTCTCATTCTCCTTATGGAAAAGAGCCTTCTGGACCCCAAGAAGGGAAGACAGGATAACCCTGATGTCCAGATGTGGCCCCCAAAATGTCACAAAATTTGCCACATTTGATATGAAGCTGGAAGAGATGGGGAACCAAATAATTGTTAAAGGTAAAGCTTAGGAAATTCTCAAGGCAGACGTGATGGCACATGCCCAAAATCAGGAGACTGGGTCAGGAAAGCTTCCTAGAGGGTGCTGTCTCACAAAAGAAAAAGATGGACCTGACAAGAGGGTTTAGCACATTCACATGCATACATACACCCACTCAGACATGTACACTCACCCACCCACCCACACAAACATACACACACACACACACACACACACACACACACACACACACACACACTGATAAAGTTAAAAAGTAAAAATAAAAATAAAATATCAAGCATTGTAATGCATTCCTGTAATCCGAGAATTTAGGAGAAGAGACAGGCAGATCTGAGTTCCAGACCAGCCTTATCTATAGAGTGAGTACAAGGTTAGCCAGGGACACATAGTGAGACCTTGTCTCAAAAACAAAAAAAAAACCCCAGATGACAAGCAATAACGAACTGTATTATGGGGTGGCAAAATGGCTTAGGGCCATGGTTCTCTACCTATGGGTTTTACCCCTATGGCAGACTGCTATCTTCAAAAATACTTAAATCACGATTTATAACAGTAGCAAAATTACTATTATGAAGTATCAATGAAAGTAACTTTATGGCTGGGGTGACCCCCAGTGCCACATGAGAACTGTGGTAAAGTTCAATAGGAAGCATTAGG